CACCCCCCATACCCTATTGACTGGAACAGGGAAACTTACAAATCAGGTGTGGCAACTTTCTCTGCCAATCAGCCTTGGGATGGTAAAGCAGGTGTGTCTAACCTGAGAAGAGATACGTGGAATGGCTGTACATTCATATAAACGTTCTTTGTGCTACTCCTCTTTCCAAGAAGACAGAAGTGTGTCTACCTGTAAGCATAATTATGACTGTTTGCAGAACCATCAAGCAATGCACCAATTTCTTTGGAAAAGAAAGGTGAACTTCATGCAGACGGCCCTGGAACGCTCAGTAAGGGTTGCCATGACGGGGCAGCAAATAAAATATCTGCCTAAGAAATCTGCTTGGATTGTCAAAATGCCAAAGTGAAAGGAGAGTAGGGGAGTGATAGATTGCTCATACCTGAGAAACCACATTCTTGGAGACACATGTGATCCAAACAGTTGATTTAATTTGTCTACAACTTCAAAGGGACCACTGCTGGAGTGAAATGAGGGAATAGATCATGCCAAAGGACAAAATAAGGCTAAAGTGATTAAATGTACAATATTGTTCTCTGTGGATTTCTTCTAAGCCAGAAAAAGTATTTGATTTCCTGGTGTATCTCTGATAATCTAGATTTTTCAGGATAGAACATGTTTTCAAACAAACAAGGAAACAAAAAACAAGTGGATATAGCAAGCATTAGAGTACTTAAGTAATGGAGTCATTTCAAGGTTGTCAGCTTATTTTCTAAGGAGCCCTGGTTTATACATTGAGTGGTTAAGCAAAATGTCGGTGGTTAGAACCCATCAATAGCAGGAGAAAGGTGAAGGTTTCTGTTCCTGTAAAGTTTAAAGTCTCAGGAACCTGGAAGGGTAACTCGACTCTGAGCTACAGGGTGGGCATGAGTAGGTATCAGTGCTATGGCAGTGGGTTGGGGTGTTCACTTATTTTGTGAGTATTTCTATCTTCTGCCTTTGTAGGCTGAAGGACTAGAACTCTTGCAATGTTGTAAGCCCTGGGTGGATATAAATAACCCATAGTTCTAAGTAAAGTATGCAGAACAAGGCTACCATATTTTTTCCACTGAATAACATTGGAGGTTACCCATAAAATTATCTTTCTTATTTTTAAACCCAAGTCTGATTTGTCCAAAGAACACCACAGGAAGAGACAGATTAGCTGTCTCTCAGTTGATCCTGTTTCAGGCTTTGCCGAGAGCTGTCAGAGAATACTCTTTTGGAGGGTGAACTATATCACCAGCCAGGCATTGTTGTTTTTTTAGATGCTTCTGTATGGACATAAGCCTTCGATTTTTTAGTAATGCACCAAATATATTAACTGTTCGCACAATCCAGGACCCTGAAGACATCAAGGTGCTGTTGTTATTTGCCATTGCGTTCTCTCTACCTCTTCTGAAATGGAAGGAACGATTACAGCCCAACCTGCACCATACCCCTGGCTCGTAAGGCATGTATGGCTATGACCTAGAGTTTTCATTGGCTGACACTCGGCGGCAGATTTCCAGACATTTCTTCCTATCCCAGGTTAGTCTGGAAGCTTCCCTGAAACATGGTTTACATCATAGCAACATAGAGTCCACCACTGACAGACAGGGACTGGCTATGCAAGAGGTGCACCGGTTAGAAATAGAACCCTGGACTCTCACATCACTCAAAAAGCCACCGTCATCAAGTTGATTCCCTATAGCAACCTTATAGGACAGAGCAGAGCTGCCCCTGTAGATTTCAAACACTGTAACTCTTTATGGGAAGAGAAAGCCTCATCTTTCTTCTGAGGAGCAGGTGGGGGTTTTGAACTACTGACCTTGTGGTTAGCAGCCCATTGCCACCAAGGTTCCTTTGGTCTCTGACATGGAAGACAGGAATTCTTCCTCTGACTTTCCACTGCTCCCTACTTGTGGGGGGAAGTCAGATCCTTGCTGCCAGACTGCTGTCTCATCCCACCACTGGGGTGGGCCTGCTCCCTGCTGCTGGAGACAATGGACTACTTCTCTCTGAAGCCTGGGGCCATTGGCTTGGTTCCTGTAGGAAGGGTTTGCACCCTACTGATAATGTTCCTATGGAGACCCAGAGACCAACCCCTAGATCACCCTCTCATTACTGAGTACCCTATATTGCAGCCCCTCCCTGTGACGTATGTCTCTACCTGTAATTAGTGGGCTGGCATGCCCCCAAAAGGTATATAGGCATGGGTCAGCAATATAGAGCTCTCGGACCTCTCTGACTCTCTCTCCCCCCTCTCCTCTCCAGTCCTCTCTCCCTTGTTCCCTTGCCCTCCTTCTCTTCCCCCTCTCTCCACGTGGACCACTAAGCTGGGCTGAGGTGAGCAATGTTGCCATGTAACGTGTCCGACTGTATTATTGTAATATCTCCCATGCTCTCGATGACTCTAATATAATACTTATATATCTCAACCATACAATTGTGCATTACTGAATCCCAGTATTAGTAATAGTAGTAGCAGCAGGTGGGGGCTGGCCCTTCACCCCCCAGCGCCAATCTTTTAATTTAATAGTACACCTACTTGCTGTCTTACTATTCTTTAACAAGTAATATTAAAACATAATTTAGCTATCAGAAATTCATTTTAGTATGAAAAATCTGATTTGAATGGTTAAAGTTATCATTTGATCTCCCTTTTGACACTTTTTGAGTTTGTTTTATTTTTAGTATTTTCTGTTTTCTTTTAAACTGGAGTATCTCTGCTGCTTATTGCTATTGTTGATTGCCTTCCTGAATCTGCTATGCAATTTTCTTTGTTTTTCGGTATATGACACCCTGATAGACGAAGAAATAGCTATAATAACTAGATTAACCAATCCTGGGGGGTACCGTGGGAGATGATGGGACTAATGGGCAGCTGGTAACACAAAGTACAAGAAGGAAGGAAATGTTTTAAAACGTATGTCTTGGCAATCATACTACACTTCTTGAAATAACTGAACCATTGAATTGTATGGTGTCGAGATTCTGTTGTAATACTTTTTTTAAAGGCTTAAGATTAAATTTACTTTTTACCAACAGGAAAAATAATTAATTTCCTAAATTCCTATATGACATACATTTAAGGGTTCTTTACTTATTGCTGAGCATTGATACCTTGTTTCCCTGAAAGTAAGACATCCCCCGAAAATAAGACCTACTTACAGTTTTGCCTCTTGCTGAAATATAAGGCATCCCCCGAAAATAAGACCTCCCTGAATATAAGGCCTCCCCAATAATAAGGTCCCCTAAAGCTACCGTAACTCTAGACTCTGGACCATAGTCACGCAGCTCACTGTTGACCACAGCTGGAGCTGACTGGAAGTGCGAGTAAATGTACCACAGCTTATGAGTAAATGCACCATAGATTGTTGTACATGGAAATAATGGTAGTAACAAGAAATTCTTGATACTGTAGGATTCACAGTTTGTCTGGTTATGCTGGTTTGTGATGACAACTACTACCGTACTGTATATAGTTAATACATTTCTTTTTTTGTTGTCCAACATTAAATGTGTACTGTATTCTTCTTCATGGAAAAATAAGATATTCCCTGAAAATAAGTCCTAGCGCATCTTTGCGAGCAAAAATTAATATAAGATACTTTCTTATTTTCAGGGAAACAGGGTAGATAGATTGAAAAATACACACGAGACAGAAACTGGCATATGTGTATTTGGAAGCCTTGAACTTCCAAGCATCCGCCATCGGGGAATGCATCAATTCATCTTCGGGGTTTGTGCATTCCCAACATCTCTCCCCGAAGCATTGAGATTTACCGGTTGCCTATTTCATGCAACAATATATTCTCCTTTTCAAAACTACACAGCACTTCACTACCAATGTTTTCCTATACAAAAGATTAGGATCTGAATGTGAGATCATCTAGTGGTTTACATTAGGATGATTATAGTTAAGTATTCCAGTGAGAATTAGCCCAGGGCGTTTAAGGCAAGTCTCTTATTAGACAAACACGAAGTTAGCCTCATGATATTTTGAAAGAAACAGCCTCTAAACACTACAGAAAATCAGCGAAGACTGGGGGAATATTCTCATACCAAGTTCTTTATGGATGAAGAAACGTACATTTGGGGACATAAAATTAAGATGAACTGTTGAACTATAGTCCTATCCCACTGGAATGTTAATCTAAGTATAAAATTCAGGTAGAGACAAAAACAGAGATTTAGAAGAGCCATGGTTTTATTATTACTATTATCTACAGTTGAGTAACTGTTTAGAAGGATAAGTGTGTTTCAGCCACATGAGATTGAACAATGATGCTCATGGGTTTCCAGGGCTGCACCCACCCTATACTGACAGGCTCGGTATGTGCTTATCTTATGCCAGCAGCCACAGGTAACTCGTTGAACCCCATTCTTAATGGTGATTGGGGATTGCAGTAATTCCTCACAAACAAGGAAGTCCCAGGGAGTTGGATATTGCATAAGGACGAGTGAACAAGAATCAATGCACTTGAATTGTGGTGTGGAGAAAAGCATTGAAAGTCCAGCGGGCTGGCAAAAGAACAAACAGATCCGTCTTGGAAGAAGTACAGCCAAAGGGCTTCTTAGACACAAGGATGGTGAAACTCCATCTTACACACTTTGAGCACGTGCTCAGGAGGAGGCAGTCTCTGGAGAAGAACATCACACTTGGCAGAGGGGCAGCAAAAGAGGAAGGCCCCCAGTGAGATGGACTGGCACCGTGGCTGCAACAATGGGCTCAAGCAGAACAATTGTGAGGATGGCAGAGGAGCAGGCAGTGTTTCCTTCTCTTGTGCATGGGGTTGCTATGGGTTGAAATCTAC